GATAAATTGACTGATAGGTAAAGGTAATATAATATTTTTAATTATTATCTTTTTAAAATTATAACTCCCGTCCTCTGGTAAATTACCAACATGTGTTAATATTTGGGCTTAATTCCCATTAAATCATATTAATTCATCGCTAAAAGTTGGTCTTATCATAATAGTCGCTAAAAAAGACTTTTTGTGATGATTTTTTAATTCGTCACTAAAAATATTTTTCTATGAATTTTTTTTAAACTATCGCTAAAATTTAGAATTAGTGAATTTTTTTGACGAATTTTTTAAATTGTCGCTGAAAACTAACAATTAGTAACGTTTGTTATTAGTATTTGAAGAAAAACGTTGCTAATTATCAAATGACCTATTGGGCAATAAATCAATCTATTGAAACCTACACATAAGTCCTATATAAAAGTGTTTTGAGATATGTAAAAATATATTGAGATTCATTCTCTCACTTGTCTGAAAGAGGAATTCCCACTTCTACATAGGTTGGTAGTTAATAAGGGAGAGTCCTTAAATTCAATGCTGACAAGGAATGAGGTTGTAGGAGAGTGGGTGTTTCAGTTCAAAAAGGAGCTATATGATTGGGAAATGGTGGAGGTTACTAGAATGTTAGCCCTTTTAGAGGCAACTCCTGCAATCAAGTCAGAGACAGAAGATAAACTGGTTTGGACTACCTCAAAAATAGGTATTTTTACAATTTTATTTATGTATAATTTTCTGACAGCTGGGTTTGGCACACCTCTTTCATCTAGTAAATTGGTATGGGTGAAGTACATTCCCCCCTCTCCCCCCATAGAATCCAATTTTTTGGTTGGCTAGCATGGAAAGGCAGACTAAAGACGGTAGATTTTCTCCTACGAATGGTGTTCTTAATGCTAATGAATCAACCATTTACATTTTTTTTCAAAGCTAAGGGTGAGTCACTTAATCATTTATCACTACAACAAAATTAAATTTTTACGGCTTGCAATGCATGTCGTAAAAACTCTTCCATAGCATGCACATAAATGTCGTTATATGACATGCCGTGGAAAGTTAAGTATCATTTACGACATGCAGGTAAAGTAGTAAAAAGTAATAAATTAAACATTAATGACATACCTTGTATGTCGTATATAATTTTTGTCATGCCATAAATCATCATACTTTCCATGGCATAATTTTGCATGCCGTAAAAAGTTGTTTTTAATATATTTATTGCTTATTTTGTATGCCGTATATAATATTTTATGGCATTTTCTTGCATGTCATAAATCATCACACTTTTCACGACATAATTTTGTATGCTGTAGAAGATCATTTTTAATATATTTATGACATACTTTGTATGCTGTATATAATCTTTTACAGCATTTTCTTACATGTCATAAATTTTCCAAAAGCCATGGGAAGAAATTTTCAGACAATAACAATAATTCTTGTAGCAATTTGGACCAATTGCGATGTATATTTTTTTTTTATTTTATTCTTCAATCCGGTGAATGTTGTGTATCAAGCTTGTGAAGCATTGAGGATTCTGAAATCACTCATGAATGGTTGTCAAGTCATCATGTAAATTTTCCACACAACTCTGATGAATGAAATATTTTTTAAAATTATTTCTGGGAAGGATTGGTCAATGTTCATGTCGATGGAGCTTAAGAAAAGAAAAGGAAAGTTCAACAGTACCTAAACAGCATTAGCTACAGTTGTCGCCATGCCATATGTAATTTCTTCAAAAGTTTCATCCAAGAAAAACAGCGTAGTCGTCAGTTTTTTACCAATCACAAGAGCTTCAATCTCCTCATGGCCAGGTATTGTAAGCCTAGGTCCAGCCTTAACAGAATGCTTCAATGCATTTCATGTGTTCAATGCAAGGACTTGAATATCTGGATCAGTATTCACACTGTGTGCCAGATTATGAACATATTCTGATAAATACCCACCAATATCCTTGCTAGGAGACATGCAGGATGCACATAAATACATTAACTCCCATGCTCTAATTAAATATTGCCTGTATTTCAAAAGAAACAAGTAAAACTTATGAAAATAGTTGAACAATAAAGAATGCATTAAGGAAAGGACTAGAGCAGTTCTAGCACTGGCAATTTATAAGACAGTATAAATGCATACTTATCAGGATTATTCCTTGTCTGCTTTGAAATTTGTGCAAAAAGTTCGTCTCGAGCTCAAAACGCTTCAGAGTATCCTTATATAGTTTCCCAATAAGCTCAATGCGTTCCTCTAACCTTGTTGGAGTCACTCGATCAAACGAATCAACACCCATGTACTTCAAAACAATCGGGAACAGTTTTACTGCCCGATTAACTAGATCACTGTTTATCTTTAGGATTGAAGTTGGGACAGGATCCTGTCAAAAGTTGAAACAAAATCCCCAATTGATAAAATCAACAACAAAACAAATTGTCATCATCAAGCTTAATATGTTATTACCTTTTAGAAACACATCATATCCGCAAATGAGAATTTCTTCCGCACTTCGGTGCCCGTGGATCTTTTAGAAGAAAAAAAAAAAAACCACGTTTTCCAACTGATTGAATTTGTTTTGGCATTGCCCTTAGAAACCTCTCCGCCTAGAGAAAACAATGGAATATGATATGGTGAAAATTTGACTATCATTCACCAAAAGCAAGAAAACAAAAGTTGGACAAGCACTCAAGTAATTCTGAAATCAACTAACCAAATTGAACAGAGAAGAAATTTTCTCTATGAATATTACAATTAAGAGCATAAGCATATCTTGTCACCTGGAATTTATCAATCAAGGGTATAGCACCAGCTAGTTCTGGCGGAACAGCCATTGACAGGGTTGATGGTGTACTGCAAGATACATTAAATGAAAATCATCTTTAATCTTAGGGTCTACAAGTCGCTATACAAGATGCAAAACCTTGTGACAATATAGAGTCTAACAAGCTAGCTTAAGCTCAAGAGCTGACAATCTCAACATAATACAAGAGGAATGAAAGAAACTTACGGGTGGAGCAAAATTGGAACCATAGCTGTCATATTCTTCCCCATTCGAGACTCTAGCAGGGTTGAGTGAAGGAGATTCATATCCATTATTAGAGGTGAATGAAGACCTGCTTGTTCTAAAACTTTGTGCCATACCTAGCCGCATATCAGATGTCATTGCATCAAAATATCCCAAACATCTAAAATTGCTCTACCTTACTGTCCCAACTAAATTGTTTTTCTCCTTAAGCCCCCTTAACCTCTTCAACCATGTCATGAAGCCTCGAAACTAAATTTTGCTTGGCCCTGCTGAGTTCTGTCGGCATGAGTTCCCAAGGAAAGTTTGGAAAAATTGATTCAAAGTAATATGTAGCTAATAGTAACACAAATTGAAATCATATAACAAAAGACGAGTATACACACAAAAATTCACACTACACTACAATAACAAATAAGAAGCAACCAAGCAAAATCAAGATAGACAGACCTAGAAATGGAAAGGAGAATGCAGAGAAATTCAAAAAATAATAATAATAATAATAATTGCTATCTTATCAGTGAATCAATGAATCAATGAATTTCAATTTGTGAATCGATGAAATCAAAAAATAAATAAATAAATACAATCGTAGATCTTATTAGAAACAAAGCAACAAAACACAACAATTTCAGACAAATCTAAGGGTTTCGATTTCCTCCAAGCCAATGTTCGATCAAATATGAAATTGCTATCTCATCTCTCTCTAGAGTACGAATTAGTTACCTGGTGAATTAGAGAGGAGAGATCGGAATGGATGAGAAGGAGGCAATCGATGGCGTCGTTTTCGATTGATCTTCATTCACAAGCTCACAGATGCCGACGGAGAGAAAGGAGAGAGAGAGAGAGAGAGAACGAATTGAACCGGGGTTAACGAAGCAAAAACAGTGTGAAGTGAAAATTAATAAGCAAAAACAATATTAATAAAAAAAAAATCTGGAAGGTAAAGAATGTGTAACATTAACAATAGGAAAAGTATCAATAAATCTTAAAATGTAATTTGGCAAATGGTTTAGTCCTCTTTTTTTTTTTTTTTATAAGCTTAAAAGTCCTATTAAAGTAGAAGTTACATAAAAATATAGTTACTTATATGTTTGGGTTTAATTTTTTAGAAATAAAAGTGATTTTCTCAAAATGTAAAATTATAAATTTGGGCAATTTGAATTATAGAAGTTTTAGATTTTCTTTCATTCTAGAATAAATCTCATGTTACGAACAAAAACTTAACACTCTAATGTAACACACTAAAAAACTCATTGGTGTACTTTTTCCAATGTAACAACGTAATACTCAAAAAAAAATTCTTTGGTGTACTTTTCTTAAACGTAACACTTCAATCAGTGTAATCCTAAACATAACATTCCAATGTAACATACTCCAATATAATACACAAAAATACTAAAAAAACTCCTTAGTATATTTTTTCAAATGTAACACTCACAGTTTGAAATTATGCATTTGTTCAAAACTTACTAAGGAATATTTGTACTCCTTTTGGAATGGTTCGAAAAATCTCATATTCCTTTTTTTTTAGTGTTACGTTGGAGTGTTATGTTTAGGAAAAGTACACTAAGAAGTTTTTTTTTTGTGTTATATTAGAGCATTACGTTTTGAAAAAGTACACCAAAGAATTTTTTTGTGTGTTACATTAAAGTGTTACACTAAAAAAAATTTCAGAGTGTTATATTAAAGTGTTACGTTTAGAAAAAAAATACTAAGGAGTTTTTTTGTGTATTACATTAAAATGTTACACTAAGAAGTTTTTGTATATTACATTAGAGTGTTACACTAAGATTTTTTTAGAGTATTATATTAGAGTGTTACATTTGGAAAAAGTACATCAAGAAATTTTTTTGTATGTTGCATTAGAGTGTTATACTAAAGAGTTTTCGTGTGTTACATTAAAGTGTTACATTAATGAATTTTTTTTTTTTTTTGTTATATTAGAGTGTTACGTTTGAAAAAAATACACTAAGAAATTTTTTTGTGTGTTACATTAGGGTGTAGCAATAAGAAATTTTTTTGTGTGTTACTTTAGAGTGTTACATTAAGAAATTTTTTTAGAGTGTTATATTGGAGTGCTACGTTTGGAAAAATTATAGTAAAGAGTTTTTTTTATGTGTTACATTAGTGTTACATTTGGATGTTAATTAATATCAATGTTATAATGTTAATGTTACAATAGGGAAGAACGCCACACCAATTACACTATAAACGGGTAACATCATCCACTTATAAATCACTCCACTAGATTCCCACAAAAAAATAAAAACATAAAAACCTACCTTACCTACGCACACTCAACATTAGGAAAAAATTCAAACAAAATCACACACAAGGGCAAATAAATAAACTTTCAAACCCCAAATCAAGGAAATACAACATACCCAAAATAAAAAGGACTAATTGGTTTGAAAGAAAACTTTTAGGATTAAACGGAATAACTTTTCTCCAAATGAAATTTATGAGTAATTTTTCCTTAACAATATTAATAAGTAAATAAAAATTGAAGTAAAAAATTTTAGATAAAAAGATTTTATGTATAAGTTTATAAATTATTTTTGTATTAAAAAATTATACATTATAAATAGAATATCTACTAGATTTTATAAATAAAAATAATTGTCATATCTACTAGAAATTTATAAATATCTAAGAACATCTAGAATTGTTTTTATTATTATTATTTATAATTAAAATATAATTTGGTAAAAAAAATATATAAAAAACACTTATTGATTTATAAGATTATGACTTTTTGAGAGTGAAAAAATAAATAAATAAATAATTTTTCTAGTAAGAATTTTTACTACATACTAATGCATGTCATGTAAAATTATGATATATTATAACGTAAAATGCATGTCATCTTAAGTATAAATATTTCACAGTATATTTTTGCAAGTTATGAACTAATGCATGCCATGCAAAATTATGATATATTATAACGTAAAATGCATGTCATCTTAAGTATAAATATTTCACAGTATATTTTTGCAAGTTATGAAAGTATATAAATTATTTTTGTATTTAAAAAAAACTAGATTGTAACTAGAATATCTAGTTTATTGGGGAAAAAAATAAAAAATTTCTCATATCTACTAGAAATTTATAAATATTAAAGAACATCTAGAATTTTTTTATTATTATTTATAATTAAAATATAATTTCTCTAGAGAATGAGAGAGCTTGGGACAAAAAACATGTATTGATGGGTTTAAGAACGTCGTTGGAAAATTCAAAGATCTTCGAAGATCCTTGAAAAACAACTTCGAATTCTCTAGAACAAATAATTTACATATACTTAGAAGGAAAATATTTTTTAATTTTCTAAAAAAATCACTAAACTCAAAAAAATATAAAATTTAATATTTTATGACATAAAATGTATATTGTCTTAAGTGCAAATATTTATAACATATTTTTGTATGCCGTGAAAATATACATTTTTTACGGCATACTTTTACATGTCATAAAAAAATCCGATTGATTTTTTTTTTTTTTTTTGTAGAAGTTTTCACGACATTCATTAGCATGTCGTGTAAAGTTATAATATTTTACAACATGAAATGTATGTCGTCTTAAGTGCAAATATTTCGCAACATATTTTTGTAAGTCGTAAAAACATACATTTTTTATGGCATACTTTTATATGCCATAAATATATGAATTAACGACTTACATGGTATGTATATTGTTATTGACAAAGCATTAACGACTTGCAAAAAAAAATGACATAAAATGTACTAACTACAACATGCATTTAATGCATGCCGTAAATATGATGTCGTAAATAGTTAATTTTTTTGTAGTGTGTTAATGTATTGCCCAGTTGCTTAAGGAGTTTAGTCAGAGTGAGTTTTTTTTTTTTTTTTCCCGAAGGTTTTGGTCAGAGATGTTAAAGTGGTGGGATGTGCAAGGTGCATTATAGCGATCATAGGTTTTCCCCTTTATGTATAGTATTCCGGACTTAGGTTCCGTGGTATTGATTGTGATATATATCTTGTTGTCATCCTTTAATTTCATATGTTTGAGTTTTAGGATGTGTTAGGCAGGTTCGTTATAGGTTGGTTATGAGTTTAAACCAATAGTTGCTGTCCAGAATTTTGTTCCTTCGCTCGAGCGAGACTTTTGTCGCTCGAGCGAGCTCTGTGTTTTAGATCCTTCGCTCGAGCCAGGGTTCCTTCGCTCGAACGAGAGTTGGGAGATGTGTCTGGTGGTTCGAACGAGAATTCTAGCACTCGAGCCTGCGTCTGCGTCTGGTTCTGGACCTAAGAGTTGCATTTCTTGGCTCGAGCGAGCGAGCTGTATGTTTTGGGTTTCTTCGCTCGAGCGAGCATTCTGTCGCTCGAGCATGCTTCTGGTTGTAGACCTGAAGCTTTGAATTGTTGGCTCGAGCGAGGCTTTCTATGCTCGAGCGAGGTTTCTTTGTGTCTAGACGCTCGAGCGACCACTCCTTCGCTAGAGCGAGCCTCGAATATATTAGTTGGCAGCTACGAGTTACACTTCACTTTTTCACCATCTTCTTTCATTCAAACCCTAGGTCAACTGCTCCTTCTCTCTCTATACACCTTCTCTCTAGGGTTTCATCTACTTCTAGTGTGCTTCTACCCTAGTCCATTTGGAAGAAAGGTAGAGCTTCGCGAGGGCTTTCTTTTAATCTGAAAATTTGTGGATTTGGAGCACTTTGGGTTTTCTTCATCTTCTCTATTTGGTCTCTCCATTTCGAGGTAGGGATACCCTACTCCATCTTATGAATTTTGACATAAATGTTGGTCATTTTGATTAGTTGGTGTTGTTGGGTTACTTTGGAAAAAGCTAGGGTTTGGTTTGTAATTTATAAAAGAGGGGTTTTGTGTTTTAAAGCTCCATGTGTATTTAAAGCCTTGGGAATGTGGGCTTGAGAGCTAAATTGGTGGAAATTGGTCTTAGGATCAATATTTGAGAAAAAAGGGAAATGCCCTAATTATTTTAATAAATTAGTTTGTATAATTAAATTGGGGAAACGTGAAATTGAGTTGAGGATAATGAAATTGGGAAATTATGGGATTGAATGGTATAGCTGGATTAATAAATCGCTCACCTATGTAAATGTTGATATTATATCTATTTAATGCATTTATTTTCTGTTTAGAAATAACTACTTTGGGCTATCGGTGGAGGATAGTCTTAATTGTTGTAGACACTGCATGATGATTAGGTAAATTAAAACTAATCGATTGAATATGTCATAGAATATGACGGTTGGAATAATACATCGAATATGTGTATTGATTGATCATGCATATGATAAATGTTTATATACATTGTGTTGTGTGGGAGGAGATAGGGGATGTACTCCACAGTTTGAGAGGAGATAGGGGATGGACTCTCAAACCTGTTTGGGAGGAGATAGGGGATGGACTTCATTAGTATAGCAAATATGTGTACTTATTGAAGTATGGAAGTGTTTTAATATGAGTTGTCATCTTATGTGAATTGTGAAGTATGGAAATGCTTTAAAATGAGTTATAGTCTCATCGAATTGTTTGGCCACGTTCTGAGCCATGTTTATGAAACGAAATTGCATAAGTAAAGGAAAGTGGAATGAAACATGGACTAATTGTCATGGAACTGGATTGTGTTATAAGTTGGTTCATAAGTGTTAACCATCTATCAAATGCTATTGTTTTAGTCATTTCTCATACTTGGTTTAGTATATCTCTACTGGGCATTGGCTCACCCTGTATAGGACATCATTTTCAGGTTTAGGTGATATGCCACCTCCAAGGACGTAGCTTGGGAGGCTTGGGACTGATAGTTCTTTTTGTTGTTCTCTTTTGGTATTACATGTAAATTCAAGCCACGGGCTTGATGTGTATTTGAGTTAGTACTCTC